ACCGTGAATTCCGTAAAAACTTCTTGTCCAGTGCTACTGATGTCAAGTGGAAACCTTCGCTATATAGGCAATGATGCAACTGATAAAACTTCAGAATCTCTGCAAATTCCGTCACTTACAATAGTGAATATGAAAAGAAGATTAGAAGTTGTGATTGTTCTTTTTCAGATTCAGGTGTGACTGGAACGATAGGAAGATCCCTTGAGTATTCCTTCTTGAGCGGATCGTTGAGTCAGGAAATAATAACGTGCTACGAGGTGTTGATTGATCTAAAAGGATATACCCGGACCACACCCTGGTCAACCAATTACTGCCCAGGTTCCTTGCACTGGCAGTCCCCGCTGTGAAGGTCAAATGAAGTAAGGAAGACGTAGAACGAAAATGGAAGATAACAAGGAAGGAAAGTCGTTTAAATGGAAGATAATACCAAAGAGTGATGAGAATGACAGAATATGAACTCAAAGTTAGAAGATGGATGTAGTCAGGAAAAGGGAAGTTTTCCTGTTGCCACCCAAGAGTGTTTAACTGACGTTCGAAACCCCAAGCCGTAGGTTCACTGACTATAATTTCTGGAAGCGGGTTTCAGCGCTCCATAACTCTACGTGATACCGGGTTTCCGCCCTGATCCGGTCGGAACGCGGCTTCTGTAGCTTCATGGGATCACCGCAAAGACAAGGTGACCTGGCTAAATAGCCAGCTTAAGTCCGGTCCAGCCTTCCCTGTTAAAATGTGGTAAGTAAGCATTAGGTCTCCTCGAAGCCCTCGGTAGTGCATTGAATACATACCCAAGCTAAGTAGACGCTCGGGGTACGATCGCCTCCGTAATCCCTCGACCAATTTGGTACCAACTCTCAAAACCTTCTTGAGCTCCATCTTGTCCTCAAGAATGCAGGGCGGCCAAGCCTGGACGCAGTGTTCCAGATGAGGCCGAACGAATGCTGAAAACAGCTTCACAAATATGTCAGCAGTAAAGACCCCGAAAGAATGGTGTATTGACCATAACATTCTAAACCCCCTACTTGCGGCCTTATAACTGTTGTCACCAGCATGTAAGGACGAGTAATGAACGACACCTAGGTCTACCTGGTTGGAGACAAGAGAGAGTTCTACCCCACCGAACACGTACCTCGTAGGTGGTATGGTTGCGCTTCTACAAAGGAGGGAACACTTAGCCTGATTAGTGGGCAGTAGCCACAAAGTAGACAAGTCCTAGAATCTGCCCAGGGCATGCCGAGTGACCTCAGAACCCCCAGAGACATTTACAACGTTTCATAGCTTAAGGTCATCAGCAAACAATAACGATGATACCCCAAATTTCCCAAGGAGATCGTTTACGTAGATGAAGAACAGCATCGGTACAAGGACCGAGCCCTGTGGGACACCGCTAAGGATCGCTTGCCTAAAAGATAAGCTGCGACTCACACGTACAAAATGCTTTCTTCTCTGCAAGAATGGAGGTACCCAGTGAAGAGCGCGGCCAGCTACGCCGTAGGAGCTCAGCTTTTGTGATAACCTCAAGTGGGGTACATTATCAAATACTTGCAGGATTAACATTTACAGGAGTGAGGTTAATGGGTGTAATCCACTACTAATGTTCCATCCTTATTTCGCAACCGATGTTAGGGGAGATTTGAAACTATTAGGTGGACCAAGTTAGATAGGAGACATTTTTAGGTAACTTTATGGCTATAAGAAAAATGCAAACCATCAGTAAGTCAAAATCTTTAGCAGAAGGTTTAGGATGCGCAAGTGAATCATCTAATTAAAGGGTCTCAGCTCAAAACAGTTGGAATGCGATAACTGATTGCAAAGTGTACCAGCTTGCGAAACTGTACAGTCAAGTTTTTAATCTGCATCGATTTTACAGTCTACTATAACTCGAGCTCGAAGAACCTGAGGGTACAGAGTAGTGTGAGTAAACAGCTCGTGGTGGTAGACAAGCCGTTGCCAAAGGTCAAATTTCTGTCTCGCCGCAGCAGCCAAATATTAGTCATTGGCAAGGAAGCTGAATGGTTTAGGGTCTTAAGGCCATGGTAGGATCGACGATTCGCAGAAAAGCTTCCTTCCCTGGAGTTGATTCTGCATTAGACTCGGTTGAGCGACCAAGGTAATGATGTTGCTCGCTAAAGAACGAGGTCCCAGAAAAGTTCACTGAATTTCTACACGCACTCTACCCCATATCCCGAGCAGAGTTAGGGTCTACGGCAACCTTTTGTCGTTCTTCGCTGTCAATAGCGGTGCAAAACAGGGCTGTGCCTCATCCTCTTTTTCCCTCAATGTTGCCATTCAAAATGCTCCATCGAAACCTCTGGAGGGTTACCCACATTTTGGTGTGCGGCTACTACTGGGCAGTCGAGCGATCGATTTGGCTTATCCGATGACATTCGGTTACTTGGTGATAACTCACAGTGCATGCAAACCATTCTAAACCGTTCGGCGATTGAGACCCTTAAGTATGGAATGTGCTTCGTCCTGTCGAAATATATAGTGTTTCTCCAGGATTGGCACTCGCCCATTCCCCTGGTCACTCGTGAACATACGCAGCTTGAAGAAGTGGATAGCTTTGTCTACGTGTGCAGCTGCGTGTCTGCTGGTGGCACCACTAAGAAAGATGTTTTCCCGTGTACTGCCAAAGCTCGGCCGGCGGTTGTCAAATTAAAACACTTGTGGCGTCTTCGGGATGTCTCTCGCTTGGTAAAGCGTCGCAAATACATTATCACCGTTCCAGGGGTGTTGCTATATAGAAGAGTCGTGGCCAGTTCACGTAGTGGATATACGCTAGCTGTCGACCTTCGCCGATGGGTACTTGAGGAGCAATGCTTTTGCGTGGTGACAGCAACGTACTTGCAGCGTTGAGGTCAGACGTCGCGTATTAAGAAATGCCATTATTCCTTTCAATAAGCGATTTTTGCATCAGCTAAGAGAGCTCAGTTACTTCCTACCTATGTCAGCTGAGCGTTTACCTTACTATGTCTCATTTGCTCATAAAAGATTTGGCTAGAAGAGACCAAATGGAGGGTAATCGCTCACCTAGCGACATCATACGAATCATTGCATTCACGTCTTGTTGCTTTTGGAGCCACACGTCTGCCTGGTTGGAGACCAAAGGACGAGGATGGCTGACGACTCGAAAGCATTCAGGATATGGCGTGCAATCAAAACCAGTGAAGGATCTGTGTAAGCGCTATTTTAGGTCTAGGTAGTTCACAACGAGTAACAATGGAACAAGAAAAGAAATGGAAAAATAGCGTGTGATAAATTTATAAAATAAAACCAGTTCATTTCCACTTGCGGCACAGTTACTGAAGCGGTTTGTTAGCCATCAATTAATTCGCCATGATGATTATGCGGTGAGCAAATGTGTACTTTTTCAGTCATTGCTATGGTTTGTTTAGCCCTGTCTATCCTTTGGAAGGTTGCAAATACTACTACTACTACTACTACTACTACTATGGTGAGCGTGGGTTAGATGATTAAACAAGCAATAATCAAAATATGTGAAACTTCAGCATGGCTATTGGAAACATTACTAATGCGTAGCCTTGACTGAGCATGGGTACAACGAACACGGCTATCTAAGCGGTCAATATTTCCCCTTACGTAACACTTTTCAATAGTTTTATACTTAGCTTTTCCCAGAGGGTGAGGAAAATATAAACTGTACGTGCTGTAACGTTAGGTATCCTACTGATTATTTGGAATATAAACGCATGTGACCGATAATGCTTTGCCACATTTGAACGGAGACACCTTGAGCTCTACCGTTACACAATATTCTGGCTTTTAGCTTTTGTTAGATCTTTAACAACCAGCTTAGAAGACATTGTAAGCCCAGGTCCCTTGTTAAAGAAATATCCTTTTCTTATACTAATTATCTTTGTACACTCCGGTGCAAAGTAAAAGACAGCTGTTTGAGCTACGATGTGTGCGGTAAACAGTAATATCATAGTGGTAAAGTTTCTACTTTATGCTTCCATCAAAACTGACAGGGGTCTACCAGAAAGCTTATGCTGAGATGCATGTTCCCTCGCTTGACTGCGTGAGCTATTCTAAAATATTTTATAATTATAGTTTGTTTATATATGGGGGAATTAAGTGTTTGGATGGTTTGAATCATGCTCAAGTTGCTGAGTCACACACGCAGCAACTGCTCGTGCTCGAATAGGACCGGCCAGCTTTTCATTCGTCATCCTCTTACATTTTCCTTAGCTTTCTTCTGGCGCTTTATTTTTGGCCTAAGCTAGTTAAACGACCTTTCAATAAACCTTTTTTTAGCTTATATGGTGTGTCCTCTTGCTCGCCTCCGGTTGGCCGTTTATCTGAGTATCTGATATTTTGCGCCCGATCAACGCACCATAAATGGTGGCCCCGAGGTTAGTGTGTCGATTGACTAGTCAGATATTCAGCTTTATCTACTGTGATTGGCTGTTGCCATACCAGGCGAGTATCAAGCACTTTTACCCTTTACCTTCAGAGTCAGTGAATCTGGGTTTGTTGCACACCTTTATGTGTCTCCAGGTGGATATGTTAAAAACAAATAATGTAAGCAAGTAACGAAAGAGCGCCAGGAATTTGGGTAAAGGCAACTATTGCTCGGTCTAGTTTGAGCATTAAGGCGATGTCCACATCTGGCTTGCTGGGCGACCTTCATGTAGCTCATCATTCTCGGTCTAGGTCAGGACTTTTTCATGGGGTGACCAGTAATGTGCGTAGCCTACGAAACCGTACGTACAAAGCGCATTATCATCAACATTATACACGTTAGCATGAGGTGGAAAAAACCACAGCTACGGTGCTGCAATGGAAAAATAAAAAAGGCGAAAACGTGCAGCAGATACCTGCCAGCTGAGCTACTGGTAACGGTTGGACATCGTTCCGGAAAGCTACCAGCCGGCTACTATGTAACAAAAACAATCATGTTGCAAAATTATATTAGGCTAAAAAGTGAGCTCGTGATTAAACAGGAGGCTAAGAGAGATGAGGGGAATAAAAAAACTCACAATATAAACGCCATTGAGCTCGGTCCATAGCCGTGTCAGCAAGCGTATCCAGACATACGTGTACATGATCTTTCGGACCGCAACCAGGGAGCCGAAAAACTGCAACTGAGGCCAGCTTCTAAGTAACAGCCTTCATTCCTCTCGACCAAGTCATCACTTGGTCACTACTTCTCTTCTTTAATTTACACCTCCAGAGCGCAAACAACACACGTCGCGGAAGCCGGTGGTCTGGCAAGTGTAACACGTGGCCAAGCCATCGGAGACAGGTACAAGAAATAACGGTGCTGAGCAGTTCATTTTCTTGTCCTTTGCCGTGAACAAGGCGGCTAATAGGCTCGTTGCTCACGCGGCGTTCCCGCCAGATGTGAGCCGACCTGCGAAGGCACCGGTGGCCGAATGAAATTAGGTTTTGTGTCAGCTGATCTAAAGGGTCAGGTTTCACAATCGTACAGTAAGGTCGAAGGTACGGCTGCATTGTACGCCCAACCACTCAGGGAGAGTTATGTCGCGCCGGCACCATAAATGGCGTATGTAAAAAAGCTTCTCGAGCTTTTGCTACACGGTCCGTGATCTTATCTGCAATCGCACGGGCGTTGATACAACCTCCCAGGTAGTTGCATTTTTGAAAGACTTCTAGCTGATCTACCCCAAGGGTCAGCGCAGAAGGCGGTTTAGCCCAATCTTGGGGGAACAATTTGCACTTCAATGGTGCATGGCAGAGCTCGAAGTCACTGACAGCCAGAGCTCATCTGTTCAGAGTTGTTTGACAAGTCTGGGACCTGTCAAAGACGACGGCAATATAGTCAGCATACACCATGTCAAGACGTCCTTTGCCTTAGAGCAGCTCCATACCTTCTAAGTGGCGTCCTGTGAAAGTGATCTCCATGACTTCGTCAATAACGAAGTTGAAGAGGAAAAGTGACAGGGGCACCCTTGTCTCACACAGAGAAACCTGACAATTCCGACCGATTAATTTGCCTTTCAAGTTGCTCAGTCCAAAACCCTAAGCATTTTGGCAAGTTGTGGATAGGCTGTCCACTCTCGTCACGTATAGTTTCACTAACAGCAGGTCCCCTGCTGCCCGTTTCATGTACCAGACGGAGTAATTTCCCATAGTTACAGTAGGCAGCGGCTATTTTTATATCTGATGCGCCATGAGACCAACAACATTCACGGTCTGTCATCAGGCTAGAACGGCGTTTTGTGCGGAGGTTTCTGCGAGACTCATTGTGTTCGCTTCCAGCCGGAATGCGCCGGCGAGCACTGATAAGTTCCAGATACTGTAAAAATCCCAATGTCCATGTTAGCGATAAGACTTAACACATGAGGAGTCGTCCGCTGTTAGTATGATCCGTTGAACACGAGACCAATGACCTTCAAATGTGTCTAGTGAGCGCTTGCCCGACTTGCACTTCAGCTTAGTTTGCTAGGCATTCAGAACAGTTGGCTTCGTCAGTTGGCCGGTGTCTATAAGCTCACCGGGTCGTCGAGGGCGTCCGCCAAAACATATCCGCAGGTCAGCACATACAATTGCATGGTCGGTGTCCGCACGTGTGTTCCAAATTGAGCGACAGTATTGGACACAGCCTCTCCAGAGATAACTGATCACAAGGTGACTGATTTGCGCCCATTGCTGATTCGAGGGCGGTGGGCGCCAAGTTACCCCCGGCGGGTTCTGTGTCGGAAATTAGTGCTCGCAAGAAATAAGCGAGCATCTTTACACGAATGAACTAACCGCTCATCGGTATCATTACCGGAGCCTACACCATGTTCGCCCAGATGCAGCTCATCAGTGGATAATAGTCCAACTTGAGCGTTCAGATCCCCAGCCAGCAGAACAGTGTCCGTGCTTCTTCCGTGGCGAAGGAGCTCGTTCAGTTGGCGATAAAACTCGTCTTTTACCGTATCGTCCCTAGATTTTGTGCACGCGTAGGCAGCGATGACGAATAGACACCTTTTGTTCCAGCGTAATTTCAAGGCTTTGCACAAGCCATCCAAATGGACCGCACACATCCGGCTACTAATTGGGGTCCAATAAATCAGGTTAGCTTCAGCCCGCGGACTCAGGGCAATAGCAACACCGGCTTGGCCGGTGCTGGAAGCTACATGGTCCATGGAAAGACGCAATGAGAATTACTTTTGGTGGTAACTGAGGGGGTCCCAAAGTAAGCACAGAGCTCGATTCTTGCGGGCGGATCTGCGGTAAGCAGCAGATATCGATCGAGTGGGTCTCTGAGTTTCGGACAAATGACGCCAATTGACCGATCTGTAGCGATGTGCGCACATTGAGGCATGTCGATCTGAATGAGGATCGAGTGATCCAACTGGAAACCGAGGAACTAGGCTCGACCACTTGCCTGAAAAGGGGCTTGCCGACACAGCAGAAATAAAGCACCGCGTTTGCATGTAACTTGAACCTAAAGGTAAACGCAGGCCCACTATCGTTGCATTCCTAGACATACGTGCCGCTTTTGACTCCGTTGATCGACCTGCTTTATGGCGTTGCTTGCTAAAGAACGGAGTGCCAGAGAAATATACCGCCATCTTACGAGCACTTTACCATCATGCATCCGGCAGAGTGAGGGTCTATGGCAAGCCTCCCTCAAAATTCGTGTCAATAGCGGTGTGCGACAGGGCTTCCCTATATCCCCATTCCTCTACAACTTCGCAATCGAATACGTTCTGTTGAATGCCCTAGAATGTTTCCAACATTTTGGCCTAGAGCTTCTACCGGGTAAACGCGCGACCAACTTAGATTATGCTGATGATGTCACCTTACTTGGTGATGATCCTCAGGGTATGCAGCTCATTTTGGATCGTTTGGCGGTTGAAGCATCTAAGTGTGGCATGAGCTTCGCCTTATGGAAGTGTAAATACTGCTCAAGGATTGGCTTTAACGTGCTCCCGTGCTTACTCTCCAAGGTGCACAACTTGAAGAGGTAAATAGTTTCGTCTACCTTGGGAGCTGTGTTTCCGCTGACGGTACTATCAACAAAGAAGTTTCGCTTCGTATCGCTAAAGCTCGATCAGCATTTGTCAATCTGAGGCGCTTGTGGCGTCGTCGTGACGTCTCGTTCTCACTAAAGGGCCGCGTTTACAGCGCATCAGTTCGCTCAGTATTGTTGTTTGGGTGCGAGTCCTGGCCAATTCGCTTGGAAGACATGCGTCGTCTTTCTACATTCGATAACGGTTGCATAAGGAGGATCGCTCGTGTTCGGTGGCAACATCGAGTTAATAGTAATGACGTTCGACGTCGCATCTTGGGGAACGCAAGTATTTCCTTTGACGAACTGGTTGTGTTGCGTCAGTTAAGATGGCTCGGTCATGTCCTGCGCATGGTACCTGAGCGTCTACTGCGTCGCGCACTATTCGCTCGTCAAGGACCTGGCTGGAAGCGACCGCGTGGTGGTCAACCTTTCACTTGGCGGCAGCACATGAAATCGCTGACATCGTGTCTAGCCGTCGTTGGATCCGTACGTCTTCCAGGATGGGGACCCAAAGATGAGGAGTGCCAATGGCTTAGGACTCTTGAAGACATGGCCTGCAACCGGAATCAATGGAAGAATTGTGTACAGTGTTGTACTGATTCACATGTTCAATACTACCGACATTGAAAATGACAAAAAAGAGAAAAATCGGCGTGTGACAAACAAACTAAAAATGTTTTGTTCTGTATTTTTGTCAAAAGGTTCCATTTTTCTTGCGGCATATTAGCTAAAGTGTGTTGCCCACCTTCAACTAGCATGCTACGATGATTATGATGCAATGACCGTCTCCTATCCACTGATTTCCATGGTTTTGTTGTCTCTATGTCTAGTTACTAGACTGTTGAGATTACATACATTACAAAGGTAAACGCTTATCAAAGCAAGGTGGAGAAGCGCCAAAACTTTTGGGGTTGAAAACGTGTGAGGCTGAAAGTAAGGTTGGAACGGGATGATTAAGGTGACAAAGATTTAGATGGGAATAAGAAGATGAGAAGGCTTGAGCAGTAGTATCCAACACTATATCCATCATGTTTGATGCAGCAGATAGGGAACCTTTGTTTATCCACTGCGGTGGCTAGAGGATCAGGAAAATATAAGAAGAAAGTTGCTTATTGACCAGTCCACCCAAATAAACAATAAAGGTTACGCTGCGATACATCTCAATTTAATATAAAAATAAACGATGTCCCAATTGTACGTCGTAACGGCGCTTAAATGCTGAACGACCACTACCAGTCCCGCGCGTGCTGAGTAAACGGCCGGGACCCCCACCACTACGCAGATTTGCAACGGTGATCTTATGATTACAAGTCAGGCATGCAGACCACAAGGCCGCTGGTCGACCAATTTAAATATACCTAGTAGGCTACGCGTTACTGAGAACTGGCCACCAATTCAACTCATTTGCTAGTAGAAGTGTTTTGTACAACAGATCGCCTTCGAAAACGCTAACACTTACTCTAAAAGCCAAACTAATTTAAATTCTTTTGAGTAAGCTGCTTATAACTTTGACGTCGTTTGTAGTTGTGTTAACGCACATACGCCGTAAAAGCGACTGTGGAGTGGCTTGATTAATCCGCGGGCGTAAGGAGAACAGGCGCCTAGTGATATATGGATTCATTCATTCCTTAATCAATCAGAAGAACCGCTTACTTGAATAGCGTCTGCGACTTTGACCACAGATTTCCTTGCTCTAAAAATATAAGTATCACTGCATCCATTTTTGAATTATACATCAAGATTGTGGAAAGCTAAGTTCTATCCGTTTTTGACTACCCTCCAGACATCACAGCTGACTTCGCAAAAGACATTATTTAACGCGTAGTGTCTGCTAATACCGACTACTGGAGTTTATTATTTAAAATCTTTTTTATTTTATCCGGTAAGATGCACAAACTTGGGTCCAAGCATTTGTTCCTATGATTTACCTGGGGTCAAATTAAAAGCAATAGAATAACTTTGCACAATCTTATCAACCGGTAGTGTTAGGATAGTGTAAACAACGCAACAGCGAATGCTATTAAGAAATCAACTGGAAGAAATCTGCCACGCTGTAAGTGCTGCTAATTCACTTGAAATATAAAATGATCTTCCTGAGCTTCTCTAAAGTAATTTGGAACGGGGCTCAAGTTTTTCTATTTCCGGTAGGCTACTATATCACATTGGCCGAGTATGTTAGCAAGGTTGTTCATGAGTGGCGGAGACGCTTGTGTCCTGAAATGCTTTGCTTGAAAACCTTGTTCATGTTAAGTAAGTGATAGAGGGAATCCATGGTATTTGAGAGGCTTTATTTCAGCTAGACACAACCAACCAGATGTTACACATCCAAGAAAACCCTAGCCAACCGGTTCGTCTTATTTAGAGTCGTCATTAGCGCACATTTGTCGGCTCTAGAGTTAACCAGGTAGCCTTACTTTTACGACTTATATTTATGTTGAGTTTTAGCAAGGCAAAAACGAGCGTACATTTACGTGTGCAGTCATATAA